CCAAGGATGTTGGGAATTCCAAGACCAAGGTGCTGGCAGATTTGATGTTGGTGAGAGCCCTCTTCCTGGTCCATAGATAGCTGTCATTCCATTATAACCTCACATGGCAGAAGGTGAGATATCTCTGGGTCTTTTATAAGGGCACTAATCCCACTCATGAGGACTCTACCCTCATGACTTAATCACTTCCCAAAGGCCCTTAATACTATCACCTTGGGGGTTAGGATTTCAACATACAAATTTTGGGGCAACACACACATTCCATAGCAACTACAAAGCCTTTCTAATTCTCTCTCTCTCTCTCATATCATCGTTGGTATGAGCTCGATTCTTGTTTTTATTGGTTTAAAATTAATTATTGTATTTAATTATTTTGGTGCTTAAATTGTGAGTAGAGGCCACTTTGATCTGATTCCTGTGACCTTGTGACATACTCCCATCAATTTTTTGGAACAATTCCTTGCTTTCTGGTATAAAAATATGTTCCATACTTATCTTGTACCTATCTACCCTGGCCTTGGAATCAACCATTTCTTTTAAGGAGTTCTGTCTCCTTTTAGAAAGGAATGGTGTTAGAAGCTGAAATCTGGGTCCTAGATTTGTTCCTTTTTACTGGGTGTCATTGCTGCTTGGAAGTTCCAGCAGTCAGCACTAGGAAATATATCCATGTACACACCATTGTTCTGGAGGCTGGGAAGTCCAGGATCAAGGTGCTGGCAGATTCATTGTCTAGCTAGGGCCCTCTTCATGCATTGCTTAACAATGGAGATACATTCTGAGAAACGTCTCTTTAGGTGTTTTGTCATTGTGTGAACATCATAGAGTGTATTTACACAAACCTAAATGGTATAGTCTACTATACACCTTGACTATATGGAGTAGCCTATTGCTCCAAGTCTAGAAGCCTGTACAGCACGTTACTGTACTGCATACTATAATTCGATGCTAAGTATTTGTGTGTCTAAACACAGAAAAAGGTACAATAAAAATACAGTATTATAACCTTATGGGATCCCACTGTATATGCGATTGTCATTGACTGAAACCTTGTTGTGTAGCACATGGCTACATACCCATCCCTACAAATGTACATACACACACATATACATATTCATACATATACATGTGCACATAAACAGGCACACTAACACACATATACAGTTTTGAGGAACTTGTAGAAAAAGGTGAGAAGCGAGTGTTCTTAGTTATAGTAGGATGCCTATTAGAACTGGTAAATGTAGAGGGTGTGCTGGGGTTGGAGAATCATCCTTTTGAAATCATCACAGTATTGATAGGATCAGACAAGAATTGTTAATGGATACGTAACCTAGGGGAAATTTTAAGGAGCAGCAGAATATTTGCATGGTCTTAATGTGTCCTCACAAACTATAAGTTGCAAGGGAGAAAAAAAAAACCCAGTAATCACACAGGGGAGAAATCGGGCAATACCCCGACTGAGTAATCAAAATTAATTTCACCTATGAGAGACTGGTGGCCATTATGTGCTTCCAGATATGTTAGGCAGAAAAGGACAGACGATTCCTATGGAGGATTCTGGGAGAAAATGCAAAACCTCAGTGTAATCATGAGGAAATATCAGGCAAAAGCAAAATGAGGAATACAAAGAAAGGTGGGTGAACTGCAATCTTAGAAAAATGTCAATGTTGTAAAAGACAAAGACGAATTGTAGAAATGTTCCAGATAAAAGGACACTAAAATGCATGCAACTAAATTCAATACCTGGTTGGGCATGGTGGCTCATGCCTGTAATCCCAGCCCTTTGGGAGGCTGAGGCAAGAGGATTCCTTGAGCTGAGGAGTTTGAGACCAGCCTGGGGAACATGGAGAAATCCTATCTCTACAAAAAATACCAAAAATTAGCCGGGAGTAGTAGCGTTCACCTATAGTCCAAACTACCTGGGAGGGTGAGGTGGGAGGATCACTTGGCCCCAGAGGTTGAGACTGCATTGAGCTGTGATAGTTCCACTGTGCTCCAGCCTGGGCGATAGAGTAAGACCCCATCTCAATAACTATATGAAAAAAAGAAAATAAATTCAATACCTGACTTTAGATTAGATCCTGTGCTGGAGAGAAAAAATGCTTCATTAGATAAACTGACAAAATTGGCATATGGATGGTAGATTAGATAAAAGTATTGGATGTAAATGCATTAAGTTGATACCTGTACTGTGATTATGTAAGAGACTATCTCTCAGGAAATACACATTGAAGTATTTAAAGTTAAAGGACTTTATCCTCAAATGGCTCAGAAAAAAGTTATGCATGTCCACAGAGAGAAAGAAAAGAGAGATAAGTTGGTGGTGGTGGCTCATGCCTGTAATCCCAGCACTTTAGGAGGCCGAGGCGGGCGGATCACTGGAGGTCAGGAGTTTGAGACCAGCCTGGCCAACATGGTGAAGCCCTGTCTCTACTAAAAATACAAAAAAAATTAGCCAGGTGCGGTGGCAGGTGCCTGTAATCCCAGCTATTCAGGAGGCTGAGGCAGGGAGAATCGCTTGAACCCAGGAGGCGGAGGTTGCAGTGAGCTGAGGTCACACCATTGTACTCCAGCCTGGGTGACAAGAGCGAGACTTTGTCTAAAAAAAAATAAAATAAAAAAGAGAGAGAGAGAGACAATGAGAGAGACAATGATAAAGCAGATGGGGTAAAATGTTAACCATAAGTGAACTAGATTAAAGAGCATACAGTATTTATTGTGCAATTTTTTTTTTTCTTTTTGAAAACAGGATCTTGCTCTGTTGCCCAGGCTGGAGTGCAGTGATGCGATCATAGCTCATTGTAATCTCAAATCCCGGGACTCAAGTGATCCTCTTGTCTCAGCCTTCCTGGTAGCTAGGACTATAAGCATGTGCCATCGTGCCCAGCTAATTTTTTTAAAATTCTTAATTGTCTTTGTAGAAATGGGGGGTAGGGGTGGGGATCTCCTTTTGTTGCTCAGGCTGGTCTCAAACTCCTGACCTCAAATGATCTTCCTGCCTTGGTCTCCCAAAGTGTTAATATTACAGGTGTGAGTCACTGCATCCGGCCTCTTGTGATACTTTTAGTTTTGCAACTTTTTATTCGTTTGAAATTATTTCCAAGTGAAAAGTTTGTTTAAAAAAAAAATCCCTTATTTAAACAAAAATCTTTGTTGAAGGAAAGTGTTTACTTCTAGCGCTGGAAGTAAGAAGTAACTCCCATAATTCTAAAGAACCTGCTTTCATGTTATGCGATTTAGAGACAGGAGGTCTTAGTGTCATCTTGTTTGATCTACCATCTAGAGCAGGAGCTCCCCCGACAGCATCCCTGGCAGGTGGTTAGCTTACCTCTTCTTGGGCATGTTTAGGGATTCACAGTCTTAAAATTACCCCATTCCAGTCTAGAATGGTGAGATGGCTGTCTTACAAATGCTTCTATACTACCTCTATATACGACTAATGCCATGTTGTAGTTAGACAACTACATAGGTAACAGTGGGTTTGGAAGATTAAAGGCTAAAGAAATGTACCCAATTTAGATGCTACTTATGTGCCACTCAAAACGCTCCTACTAATCCTCTGTTGGAATAATGGTTCTGGATGGTCTTATCTGCCAGTCCCTCCCAGGAACCATGCCATACCTCTTCCTTCCTGCAGGTGCGTCACTGATGCCCTAGCATGGGTCACCTTGGGAACTGCTCTGCATGCATCCTATATTTGTTGAAGAGTTAATACTCATAGGGCCATCCTTGATCAATGGACTATGGGTGTGAGGGTTAAATGTTTCTCTAGGACAGTTTGCAGATGCTTCTCACAGGGCTCCTGGGAAGGACTGGCGGGGTAGAGCCCCAGTTGCCTTTCACAGTGGCTTATTCTTGTGTTGGCTTTCTCTGCCTCCCTGTTTTCACTCTTGCCCATCACTCCTCTCCCTGAGATCATTGCCTGAATAGCCCGTGCACAGACTTTTGTCTCAGGTTCTGCATCCAGGGGGAATCAGGCTAAGATAGCATCATTAGAAAAAAAGTCTGAAACTCCTATGAGAGGGATGCTAATTGCTAATTTACCAAAATTCCACAGCTCAGCTGAATAGCAGGCTGAAGCAAGATTAGCTTATCTTAAATAAATATCATTTTGGGACTCATTGACTTCTCTGTCTCTGCAACATATCTTCTTCCTTCAACTGTTTCTCCTTCTGGTTATCCCCATTTTTTTTTAAAGAGATGGGGTCACACTTTGTTGCCCAGACTGGTCTTGAACTCCTGGCTTGAAGCGATCCTTTAAATCTCCAAAGTGTTGGGATTACAGGTGTGAGCCACTATGCCTGGCCTCTCCCCATCTTTTTATTCTTGTGTTTCTCCATCCCATTGACCATTCATCTCCCTGCCCTCTTTGTTTTGTCTAATCTCTGGTCCTTCATCTCTTTCCACTTCATCCTCTTTCTGTCTCCTTTATGCCTTTGCTTCTTGTTTTTCTGTGATTCCTCTTATTTCTTCCCTTTCTGATTGCTGGTAAACACAGTTGACCGTCAACCTAGCTTGTGGGACACTTGACTCCCATGGCTTTGCTCTCCTTGCATTGTCTCACAAACAGGGGAGTGAAAGGTGGGATTAGATTGTGTGCTGCCCCACACTAAGGATTCTGAAGGCTTTGCTAAGTAACAATGGGATTGGCCCTTAATAGGCATCCCATGAAGGTGAAAGAATTAGTGAGTGAAAGGCATGCAGAGGGATGATGGGTCTTTGACATCGCCTATAGCCTCAAAAATCCAGAGTTGACTCTGGGTACTGGTACTGGGTGTGTGGACCCCTCAGCCCAATCTTCTCTCCCCAGTTTCTGTTATTTAGCTGGATCGTGGAAGTTTATGCATTCCCAGGAGTGAAAAATCAGAACTTGGAGAGGAGCTGGGAGACCCATGGAGAAATCTGAGTCCTCATTGCTTCCCCCTAGGATAATGCAAAGCAAGGCCAGGTCTCCGTGGAAGTGACTTGTTTTGCTTTTCTATAAAACCACCCAAACATGTGCATTTGTTCACATTTCAAATCCAGTTTATTACCAAAACAAACACAAGGAGAATGAGGCTTAAATTAAATAAATTATGCAAATATCTCAAGAGATAAGGTTCCCAGACCTCCCTGGGAATTACATTATCACAGGTCAGTATCACTAAGAACATTCAAAAGTATTGAAATTCTGGATTATTTCACTACTTTGCCTCCATCTTTCCTGCTTCAACCAGGTCCAGAAGAGTGTTCTTTTCCAAATATTCCAGCGGAGACGTTTTCTTCAATGTCTTCCCTCTGCTCCACGTGTTTCCAATCTTACCTCCACAGCAGGCTCTGCAACCCTCAGACATGTTGCAGACCTCTCCCTGAGCCCCAACTCCAGGCCACTGGATCAACAATCCCCTTCAGTTCTGAGGCTGGTCTGGGGGTTGATGATTACTTGGGGGTTAAGGATCACTTCCTCTAGTCCTCAGGGGATCTAGATACTTGGTTCAAAGGGAACTCTGACTTGGAATGTCCTGAGGCTCTGTGACCTTCTCCCACCTCCTGGGCCTGAGCTAGACTTGGAAGGAGGTGGAGTAGGGGAGAGTGAGTTGTCATTGGCTAAGGCTCTTGTCCTCCTGGAATTTGGCACTTCGGGTGCTGGGCACGGTGAATCCCAGATAACATTGTCTTTCGCCTTCCAAGTTTTGAGTTCCATTGGCAGCCAGATGGCATAATGAATTCACAGAAAAGCAGTGCTCCTGGGCCAAGGATGTGTTGGCTCTTGGCCAGCACCCCCTCCTTTAACTCTAAGAAGACTTGTTAGCTGATCAGCTCACTCAACACACAGACACACAATGCAGGTCTGGCTGAAGTTAGAAATTGGGATGTTTTCCTAGGCTGGGCCAGCCCAACCTGTTAGGGAAGGGGTTGTTAAGTTGAAGAAGCTTGAGAAAAGCAGTGATGAGAGGCCAGAAGATTTTCTGTGCATTTCCATTGAAATTTTACAAAACACTTACACATGGAACCTATTTATTTTCAAGTCAACAGTGGGGTTCCTCTCAATACCTCCTTGTACATATGGAGAACTTAACCCCTATTTTCATCTTCATAGGAGAAGATGGCCTCAGGTCCTAAGGGTGTTAAGGAATCTTCCTGTGGAGGAAGACCCAATCTGGATCAGCCCCTTTCCATATCTGCATGCAGTTAGGGGATGCAGTGGGTCCCTGGAGGACTTCCTCCCTTGCCTGCAGAAGGACCCCATCGTGTCTCTGGGCCACAAGCTGATAAGGAAGAGTTAACATGATTGGCTGTTTGCCAAATAAAGAAGGATAACACAGATTTACCAAAGGGAGGCATTTCCCTGACCGGCCCTGAGGTCAAGGGGGACTGTCCGGGCCCAGGTCCCATCAGTTTTCCCTGTGTTGGTACTAGCACCCTCTTTCCCTCTGAGTCTCTGGGTGCAAAGAGGGATTCCCAAAAGCTTTTGTGCAGAATAACTGGTATCTATTACTAGGAAGCCAGAGGATTCTGCCAGCTACCCATCCCCCTCTTTGGGGTTTCTAGCCAGCCTCCAGGGGGAGGGAGCAGCCTCTGAGGGCAGAGGCACCAATGTTTCAGGGGACTGAGGCAGAACCTTAGTGGGCTGCCCCTGGGGAGGTAGCTCTGGTGGTCTCGATGGCCCTGGTCACTGTCCAGGCTAGAGTCTGATGTGCTTGCGGACAGCAGTGGTGGTTTGGGCAGCCTTGGCGATGATGGAAGGGGGCATATAGTTACCAAGGCCTAGACTCCTGGGTGTGGAGAGCACATGGTCCTCGGGTGCGGAGCTGCCAGAGACAGAGTTGAGGCAGCTGGGGAAGGCAAGCCAGAGTCCTAACCAAGTTTATCCCTATGTCCCGTGACAGCCTGACACCATCTGACACTGAGCCGTGTGGGCTCTGGGACACTTTTTGAAGCTTGTACAGCAGGCCAGCACAGTTGTACTTGTCCTTCTGTTTTTGGCTCACTCGTAAAAGCTGGAAGTCAAGGTGTCCTTCAGCTGCCAAGGACAGGGCAGAGGTGGGTGGGGTGGAGCGAGCAGGAGGCTTGTCCATTGCGGCCAAGGCCTGACGGGTGAAGACTGGGCTCACCAGACTCTCACTCCTGGAAGGGTGACACCCCCCCTGCTGCTGAGAAGCTCTCTCTGGAGATGCGGGGAAGGAAAGAGGGGAGGAGACGGGGGAAAGGAGACAGGAAGCCAAGCTCTGGGGGATGTACTTTCCTCTGCCCGACACTCCCTGTGACCCAGGCTCATCTTTTGTGGAAGTTCCAAGTGCCAGGTGCTCTGTAGGCAGCATGAAGACTGGTCGGGCCCTCACAGGGCGGTCAGGGTCTCTGTGTGAAACATGCTCCCGAACATCTCCTGCAGGAACCACAGGAAGGAAGTGGGAGGGGAAGAGAGAGGTTAGACCAGTTGGGGTCACAGTGGCTGCAACCAAGAGGTGACCCTAGGAACCCCTTGCCAGAACAAGGCACCATGTGTGCCTGTGTGCCTGTGTGTGCATGTGTGTGTGTGCGCGAGAGAGTGTGTGTGTGAACAGGGGAGAGGCAGGGTCATCCTAGGAGGTGAACCAGTCCAGCGTGGCAGGAGCAGGTGCAGAAATCTACATGTGAATTGCCTCCCATGTGCTGTGTGACCTTCCACGTGTCCCTCGCCCCCTTTTAGCTTCACTTTCCTCATTGGGTAAAACAAGGGTTGGCAGTAGACAAGCTCTAAAGTCCTTTCTCACTTTGATAAGCTATTTTGGTCCTATCCAGGCTTTTTGGAATGTGCTGGAGATTCCAAGAGGGCACAGAAATCAGTCTGCCAAATCTCTGTGGCTCAAGCTCTATTTTCTAATCTGTCCCACCTGCCATCAGCACTGTGAGAGATGGATTCAGAGTACCACGGAGCTCAATGTCAAAAAGAATGGGAAGAAGCACAAAGAGAGACACTATTTCTCATAGACCCAAAGCCAGATTTCTCCAAACCTAGTTATCTGGTTTCTTTTAATTCAGGGTGTTGGTGGGGTGGTGTTAATCCAGGGGCCCTGTGGGGATGGTGATCCCTCATATCCACATACCTTTTAGGTTTTGTTTTGTTTGTTTGTCTTTGAGACAGTCTCGCTCTGTCACCCAGGCTGGAGCGCAGTGGCACGATCTCAGCTCACTGCAACCTCTGCCTCCCAGGTTCAAGTGATTCTCATGCCTCAGACTCCTGAGTAGCTGGGACTACAGGCATGCACCATCACACCTGGCTAATTTTTGTATTTTTAGTAGAGATGGGGTTTCACCATGTTGGCCAGGCTGCTCTCGAACTCCTGACCTTGTGATCCACCTGCCTTGACCTCCCAAAGTGCTGGGATTACAGGTGTAAACCATTCCACCCAGCCACATGTCTTTTAGTTCTTAAGCCCTGTATACATGCAATAATAATTTATTTTTAGACCCAGAATTCATTTATTCTACTAGAACATACGTTTCTAAAAGGCAGAGGCCTTTGTTTTGCTCACTGCTGTTTGTCCATCCTGAACTGCATCAGGCAAACAGTAGGTACACCATAAATACCTGCTGAATTAGTGAAAGAACAAGTGACTGCCCTGCCAATCTGGTGTGGTGGATGGGACAGGTATTACCTATGTTTCCCTAACTTCACAGATGATAAAAACTAGGGTCCAGGGTGTACGTGGCTTGCCCAAGGTCACATGAATGATGTGTTGGAGAGTAAGAAATAGGATTACTGTTCTTCTAGGACTTGGTCCAGTGACTCCACCTCTTTCCCACGATTGGCCTTCAGGGATTGAGAAGAATGGAAGCAAGGCCGGGATAGTGGCTATGCCTGTAATCCAGGCACTTAGGAGGACCGAGACAGGGCAGATCGCTTGAGATCGGAAGTTCGAGGACAGCCCGGCCAACATGGTGAAACCCTGTGCGGGTCTCTCTAATACGAAAATTAGCTGGCACAGCGCCTGAAGGTCCCAGCCACTCCAGGAGGGCTGAGGGCAGGAGAACTGCTAGAACCTGGAGGCAGAGGTTGCAGTGGAATCGAGATCATCATGCACTGCACGTCAAGTCTTGGGGTGAGAGAGGGGAGAACTTTGGTTTCAAAAAAAAAAAAAAAGAAAAGAAAAGAAAAGAAAAGAACAAGATGACCCACAAAGTCTTTGTGGGCCTCTGAATGTGACTGCTCTGGGCGACTGGAGGTGAGGGCACAGCCGGAGTGGAAACACCCTTGTAGACAAGCGGACCCCATCCTCCCTTCCTTACCCTGCTCCACCCTCCACAGACCCCGTCCCTTCAGCTCACCTGTCTACAAGTCCCAGTACTGGGGGATTGTCTCTCTTGAGTCGTACAGAAAGTTTCAGGGGTTCGGAGCCTGGAGGGGAGTGTGCAGACATGAGCTTAGTGACTTGAACAGCAAAGTTGGTGCATTGGTGGCAGGAAAAAGGGGACAGGTGGGCTGCTCTGGTTGGACGCTGCTTCTGACACATGCATCATCCTCTTGCCCTTTTCACTGGCCTCACATAACAAGTCACAGCTGTGGTCTTCCACTGTTAGTCACTCAGACGTGGATCCACAGTGTGTATACTCTTCTCCCTTGTGGGCCGTTAGAGGCAGGGGAAGGTTTTGACCCAGCTTAGAAAAAGCTACCGGCTAGCTGCCTGAACCTTGGGGAATCCGTTCCTCTTGGAATCTTGGTCTTTCTATCTGTTAAAGTCTGAAACCAGCCTCCTTGCTTGCTTTCCGTCACCTCGCTGTTGAAAAGGTGTGTGGTTTATATGTGTGATTTGTATCTGTGAATGTAGTATATAGTATAATGTTATATTAATATAAATTATTTATGTCTATAACATAAGTACCACATATTAACGCAAGAGTAGCTGAACATGATTAGGGGGCACTTAGGCAAATACGCAGTTCCTCCGATTCTCCCTCTTTGCTCGTGCGGACAAGTCTCACAAGCAGGAAAGGGCCGCTGTTCCCCCAGTTGCTCCCTCTAGTGGCATGGAGTGCCAGGAGCCAGCGGCCCGGTGTGTTCCTGGGCAGTCTTTCAGCACTTAGAACAGATGGTTTCACCTTCATCAGTCTCTTAAGGCAAAGAGCAAATCGTTGCTTTAGGGCCAGAAAAGCCTTTCTTATGACCCACAGAGGGCGGGGGAGGTTTTTATCCAGGGCTAGGGCACAAACAGAGTCTTGGGAGGCCAAGGGCAGGAGCTGAGCTGGGAGGGGACCCTGAAGGCTGAGAGACAACTGGGGATACCTAGGCAGGGACCCCAAGGGCATGGGCTTTTTCTGACTCCTCAGCCTTCTGGAGTTTTAGATGCTGTTATTTGTATCCTATTTGTATGTCACTTACTGAGCTAGTAAATTAAATGTCGAAAAGCTGAGATAAAACTCAGACCCAATCTCTTCATCCCTCATCAGCCTGAAATCTCTAAGCTCTGGTAAGTTAAAATGGGTAGGCTTACTCCCCTCCCCTTCCTTCCCCAAAGCCCCCATTAGAAAGAGATGTGGAGGAGGCAGGGAACGATGCCAGCAGAGTGGGCCTGCTCTTCTATGCTTTGGGTGTTTGTGCAACCAGAAAATTTATATTGATAAAGAATTTTTACAATACGCAAAGCACTTTCAAGTGACACAAAAGATGTAATTATCATTTAACCCTAAAACAAAACAAAAGAAAAATGCAGAGAGGTAGGTAATGTTAGTTGATGGTGCTCCTTCTACAGATAAGGAAACTGAGATTCAGAAAACTGAAATGGCAGACTTGATATTGGAACTTAAACCTTCTCCTGTGTTCTTTCTAATACGTCTTGGTCCTGCATTTCAGTGCCTTGGAGCCTAGGATTCCCCAGATGCAAGGACCTTACCCCTTGGAAATTGTGTCCTGGAGTCACATCTCTGGCATTTGCCTGGGCAAAGAGGACTGCATCATGTATGCTGGGAAAGACGTGCTTGCATTCTAGACTCCCATCCTCAAAGACGCCTCCATGGCTAATGTCATTGTACACCTGGGCTAGAAGGAGAAAAGATCACCTTCAGAAAGATAACAGCCATTGTGGATTGGAGCTGGGGGTGGGGAAGATGGTGAGACCAGAGCAGGGATGGGAGAGGCCTGAGGTCTGAGCTCTTGCTGTATCTGAGGGCCATGGCATTGGCAGTGCAATATCAGCTCTGGACAGCAGAGGGCGACATGAACTTGAGGATGCTGAACGTTCAACCCAGGGCAGAAGGAAGCAGTTTGATTTAGGGAGTGAATACTTTGTGGTGATTCGAGTGGAAAAGCCTAAGCCATCCTTGAGGAGGCCGCTGCCAGTTCTATCCCCCAAGGACCCATCCTTCCTCTTGTTTTCCCAGACCTTCCCAGCAACTTCCAATGTGTGGCAGAACCATTACTCTTAATCCTAGAGATGGTTTCTTGAGGGGGTGTCCAGTGAGGTTGGGGAGAATCCACTGCTTCTTACTCCAGAGCATATCATAGCAGGTCATTGCCACTGCAGATTCTCTCCCTGAGCATGGCCATGTGGAGCTTGGGACCTGCAGCCCTGCTGGAGGGGGTCTGACCCAGTGCAGGGAGCTGGGGGTGTATGTATGTGCCCCTTCACATTCTCCTGTGTGTCTGTGTGCACTTGCTCCCACATCTCTGCACTTTGCATACATGCTAATAATGTAAATGTCTGTTGTTCTGTGGCCACATCCTTGAGGCTGTGTATATGCACCCTTTGGAGGCTGTGTGCCTACAAAACTGCATATTTATACGTTCCCTGGGGAATCAGGGTATTGTGTGCTCTATGCCTATATAGATTCACAGAGTTTCTGATTGGGAGAGGATCCTCAAATCCATCTAGTCAGCCCTCTTGTTTTACATAGGTAGAGATAGATCCCTTGATAGATAAAGTGACTCAGCCAAGGATACATGGCAAATTAGTTATGGGGTAGATTAGAATCCTAGCTGTCCTTTTGTAACTCCATGACCCCCTTACCCTCACTCTGTCACTAAGGCCCCTAGGATGTTTATACAATCTGATCAGTCTCTTTGGACTTGTACCTGAAGCTCTTATGAGCAGGCAGCAGCTTGGGGAGGATATCTGGGTGCTCTCATTTCCAAGCTCCTCACTATTCAGACCCCACTAACTGTTCCTACCCCACACTCCTTGCCAGCCTTTCAGTCCCTAAATGTTCTCTTTGTCTTACCGTGGATGTTCACCAAGAAGACCTTCACGCCAATCTTCCCATAGGTGGAGCTCAGCTAGAAGTGTTGGGGTAGGGAGGCAAAAGGAAAGGAATGTTCTGAGTGGGTCTCAAAAGTGATTCACGAAACGTACTTCAGAGGGGAAGCCAAACAAATAAGCAACCCCGAGAGCCCAGCAGCCAAAGACGAAAATAGCAGCAAAGCACACCGCTTCTCCCTGGAGTGCTGGCTGACGGCTCCTCTGGGAAGGGGGGCGGAAATGGAGTTTTGCCAATGTGGCAGGCACTTAAAGTCACCATGGCCCCTTCTTGTGGGGCTAGATCTTTTCTTTTTTTTTTCTTTTGAGATAGAGTTTCTCTCTGTCACCCAAGCTGGAGTGCAGTGGCGCGATCTCGGCTCACTGCAACCTCCACCTCCTGGCTTCAAGCAATTTTCTGCCTCAGCCTCCGGAGTAGCTGGGACTACAGGCACCTGCCACCACACCTGGATAATTTTTGTATTTTTAGTAGAGATGGGGTTTCACCATGTTGGCCAGGCTGCTCTCGAACTCCTGACCTTGTGATCCACCTGCCTTGACCTCCCAAAGTGCTGGGATTACAGGTGTGAGCCACCACGCCCAGCTGATCTTTTCTTTCAGTAGCTTAGATTCCCAGATTCCTTTGTGGCTTCAGACAGAAGCTGGAGGGGAGGACGGAGGCTCAGGGAATCAAGAGTTTCAGCCAAGGCTGGCCTGGACTCCAGATCACAGCTAAGGAAGACGGCTGAGGCCCAAGGCTGGGTATGGGGCCTCCCCTGAGCCTGGTGGATGGTGACGTCAGTCCGAACACTCTTTGTGCCCATTGTTCCCCTGGCTTGCCTCTATCTGAGCCAGCTCTGAGGTTTGCTGACTCCTGCCATTGGTGGTGGCTGCTGGAAAGTTATCAGATAGATACATTCATTCAAGGTGTCCCGTGGGCTGTCTGTTTGGCCTAATGGTGTGGGGTGCTGGTGTTATTTCTTCCTCTCTCCTAGGCTGGCCAGTGAATGAGGGACAAGGGCAGCAGATCATGAAGCAGGTGCCAAACTGAACCCTATTCAGAGACCCTGGGTGGGTTCCTGGTGGCTGAGAGGGACTTGGGATGGTCACTGCTGGGGGCATTGGGAGCATGGGGGCCTGAAGCTCTGGTAGACCTCTCTAGCCAGTCATTGTCACGGGCCGTCTGGGCCTGCTTTGTGGAGAATGTCCCATCCTGGTAGCGTCTGGGGAAAGGAGGGATTCCTAGGAGCCTTTAGCCTCCGTGGTGAGCTTCCTCCCTCAGCTTCCTGAAATGAGGGCTCCCAGGAAAGGGAATGTGGAGAGCAGAGCAGAGTGGGCGGAGCAGGTAGTGCTTGCTGCCCCCGAGAGCTCACCTTGGCCAGGGTCTTGATGCCCATCAAGTCCACAAAGCTGACTCCACTCATGTCCAGGATGAGGGTGTGGAAGGTGACGAAGGGCGGGACACTGGCCAGAGTGTCACTGGGCTCGCCGGGGGCCTCAGCAGAGGCCGGTGGCTCACTCTGGGCAGCTGAGGAGCTGTCGGGGCTGAAGGTGATGTAGGACACACTGGTGCCGTTAGCCTGTGTCTGGTTGTTGTTGGGGTCAGTGGGGGACGCGTTCTCAAAGTCCTGCTGCAGCTCCTGCAGGGAGACAGTCTGGAGGGGTGGAGATGGTGGGCAGAGTCAGGGACCACCAGACTGAGCCAGACCTTGCTGTGGCTGAAGCAGGGGCATGGAGGGTGTAGGTGGAGGGGAATAACTCTCCTCGGTGATGGTGAACACAGACCCCGAAAGCTCCACCAGAGAGGCCTCTCCCAAAGCCCCTTCTTGGGCAGGGCCTGCAAACTTGGTCTCCTACAACCCAGACAAAGTGAGAGGACCCAGCCAAGAGAGGCACTGAAGCCTCAGCCCACCCTGTCCGGGAGAAAGCCCCTCCGGGGACACTGAGCTCCTTTATTTCTTAAGACAGAGTCTCCCCCTGTTGCCCAGGCTGGAGTGCAGTGGCACTATCTCAGCTCACTGCAACCTCTGCCTCCCGGGTTCAAGTGATTCTCGTGCCTCAGCCTCTCGAATAACTGGGATTACAGTGCCCACCACCACGCCTGGCTAATTTTTGTGTATTTTTAGTAGAGACAGGGTTTTGCCATGTTGGGCAGGTTGGTCTCAAACTCCTGACCTCAAGTGATTCACCCACCTCGGCCTCCCAAAGTGCTGGGATTACAAGGATTACTCCCATGCCCCCGACTCCCCAGGCCTTGCTAGCCCTGGGCTGCCTAGGTTCCCCAGGAAATTCACTGCTGCTCCCCCTCTGGGTTGTTCAAAAGTCCATGGGCCATATCCTATCTGAGCCAGAAAATGGAGAAGGGCCGTGGGGGTCCAGTGGCTTCCCTGGGAGATGGTAGCACCTCATCCAAGAAGAAAAATGCCCAGGCTGGGTGCAGTGGCTCAGGCCTGTAATCCCAGCACTTTGGGAGACTGAGGTGGGTGAATCACCTGAGGTCAGGAGTTTGACACCAGCCTGGCCAACATGGTGAAACCCCGTCTCTACCAAAAATACAAAAATTAGCCGGGCGTGGTGGCACCTGTAATCCCAGCTACTTGGGAGGCTAAGGCAGGAGAATTGCTTGAAACCCAGAGGTGGAGGTTGCAGTGAGCCAAGATCACGCCATTGCACTCAAGCCTGTGTGACAAGAGCAAAACTCCGTCTCTAAAAAATAAAAGGGAAAAAAAAGAAGAAGAAAAATGCTCAGCGGCCACCAGGCAGTGTTCCCAGAGACTTTCTGTCTTTGCCTGTCAGGGTGGGAAGTGGGGTCCCCGGGGTACCATGAATAACAGGAGGCAATATCAGAATGGGCAGGGGAGCAGGGCACGGGGGCTGCTTCTGGCCTCTGTTCACCTTGGTTTTCATGAATAGAGACCTCCTCTGTTGTGTGGGCCTCATTCTCCGCTTCTCCTGCTTCTTGAGGTATTTTTGCTTGGCTAGTAATACTTTCTGGGGGTCCATGCCTGTCTGTAGGGAGAGAGCCAATAGCAATCTTGACCTCCATCCTCTATGGGAGTGACCTGTTTTCAGCTCCCACCACCCTTTTGCTTCCATCTTCTGGCCACTCTCTGTCCAGAGCCTCTGTCCCCCAGGCACTGAGCCTTACCTTGGCAATGACCTTTTGCCTGAAGATCTCTGAGTTGGCAAAGTAGAGAGGGGAGCAGTAAGTGATGATTTTAATCCCCTGGATATCCTGGGCCTGTGACAGGGAGACTGAGCTCAAGTTGCAGAAATGTCTTTATTGGCTTTAAAAAACAACCTCTTCTTGGGGTGGTGCAGAGTAAAAGAAAGAGGTCATAAGCTTGAATCACCTACCCTATTGTAGGTCTTGGGATTCACATAAATGTCTGTGTCCATGACCTGGGCCAGCGCATAGCCATTTCGACTGGATGAAGAAGGAAGAGAAAAACATAAGAGAATGTTCATGGCCCATGGGCCCGGAAGGGTGCTCCTGCTGGAGCCGGGGCAGAGCCAAGGTAGGATGGGGTCCTGTCCTCACCCCCAGACTTGCTGTGTCTGTCTTTCTGCACTGGAGACACATGTCTGGTGGCCTGTGGCCTCCTATAACTAGGAGGATGACAGGCAGGCCCTTGACATAGCTTCCAGACCAGAGGGCAGGGAAGTGAAGTGGTGGGAGCACACAAGGTGACAAGGTTCAGTTGCCCTGAAGTCATCAGTTCCTTGTTCTGAGTTGTCAAGAAGAGAAGATAGATTCCCCCAACATTCAGCATCCTCCCTGCCTTGGCCAGGACCCTTTCTCTGTGATACTCCCAGTGTGTAGAACACAGCTTCTGTCTTCTACCCTGGCACTCTCCTGGGGTGGGGTCCCATTTGGTTTGAGGTTCTGGCAGTGTCTTTGGAAGGATGTTGAATCTCACCACCTGCTCTTGCCCTCCTTTCTCTGCCACCACCTTCTCCCCAGCCGTCCCCAGCAAGACTATGCTGGCTTCCTCTGGGTTTTTCAGGATATGGGAAGTCAAACAGCCCAGCCTGTGCCCACAGTCCTGGCTGGGTTGGGCTCTCCTTGGGCCTGGCAGCAACTCCCGTGCCAGGCCCAGAGGTGGAAGGTACAGTGGACTAAGCCAGGCCGTGGCATGGCAGCCTTCCGAGGGCTGGCCCAGGGACCTGACTATGGGGCTGGGAGGGTGGAAGCTATTACTTACAACTGAGTCTGGAAGACCACGACCAGGACGGAGAAGGCAACACCCACTGCCACACCATAGGGCAGGCTGAGGAAGAAGGAGGAGAGGAAGCTCACTACCCAGATGCACTGTAAAAAGAGAGATGTCAAAAGCAGACCTGGGGAAAACACGACCTCTTTCAGGAAGTCTTCCTGGATTAGCCAAGGCCATTCTCTGCTAGTAAAACCTCAGAGCCTTTCTTCTCTTTTTTTTAAAATTGCGTTTTTGCATTATTTTATGTTATTTGTGCTTCAGTTACACTTTCCTGTTTCCCTTAGATTGACTGTGGTTGCCTAATCTTGTCTGTGTTTTTAACAGAAGCCCCAGCACACAGGGAGGCAGCATCTATAAGAGCATGCAGCTGGGGTCAGATCTGCTTGGGTTCAAAACGTGTGTGTTTGTTTGTTTTTGGACTCAGAGGGTCTTTCTCTGTTGCTCAGGCTATAGTGCAGTGGCAAGATCAGCTCACTGCAGCCTCAAACTCGTGAACCCAAGTTGTGCTCCGGCCTTACCTTCCTGAGTAGTTAGGACTATAGCCACGTACCACCACACCCAGCTAACTTTTTATTTTTCTAGAGATGGCTCTCGCTATGCTGCCCAAGCTGACCTTGAACTCCTTACCTCAAGCAATTCTCCTGCCTCAGCCTCCTAAAGTGCTAGATCACAGGTGTAAGTCACTGCACCCTGCCCAAAGTTTTGTTCTTTAATGGCTATGTGAAACAAAAGGAGAATAATAACGCCTACCTTATGAAAGGATTCAAATGTTAAGGAAAGTGACGGTCCTGGCCTAGTGATGGATGCTCAGTGGGTGACCAATAAATGTGAGTTCCCTCTCTCTGTCTAATAGCAAGCTGCGTGGGCCCTGGCAGGAGCTCAGCAGTGCTTTCTGATCGACTGGGGACCTCGTTGTGTGTGGGTGGGGGGCAACATTGGGTGAAGTTTTGATAGTTGCCCCCTGTAGATTTTAAGACCCACAAATTCCTCTAAAGGAAATAAATCTGCCCAGATTCCTGTAGAGAATTGCTGTGAAGATCAAATGGAAACACAAGCCGCCATGTGAACCTAAGGAAATACTGCCATAGCAGGAGCTTGTTGGGCTATGGTCAAAGCAGATCCTTGGGCTGGGAACTGAGGTATAATTTTTCTCCCTGTCCTCATCACTCTCTCTCCCTGGGTGACCACAGATGAGCCACTCACTTCTCTGGCTTTAAGGATTTTCTTCCCTGCCTTCGATGGGTGAGCCTCCCTTCCCTATGAGACAGTACAGCCTGGAGGTCTGGAGTCCAAGACTTGGAGTTTTAATCCAGACTCTACCACTTCCTACCTCTGATGATTTACTTAACCATTCTGAGCCTTGGTTTCATCATCGTTAAGAAAGGTTAGTAAATCCTCTCCCATAGGTTATGATAGGGCTTAAAATGGAGAGAATGCAGTGTCGTCAATGTACACTGGTCTTCGTGACTATGCCCAGAGGAAGATGCGGTGGAGTGTGTGACTAATCATAACAATAAGTCATGTTTGCAGAATGTTTGTGCCCGTGTGGTGTTTTCCCACTGTGATCTCATTTAATCCTCGGAACCAGCATTTGACGCAACCGTGACTGCATGAGTCTCACCCCCATTTACAGATGAGGAAATAGAACCCCAGGGAAGTCTAGTAACTTCCTGAAGGTTTTGGTCCTCTGGCTTTATGTTCTAGGTTTGTTTGTTTTTTTTTTTAAACTATTTCCTTTTGCTTTTTTGGAGCTATATGTCATAAAGTAGTCATAGATAAGCTTTGTTGAGTATAAAATACGATGTAGACAACATGTTTACTTGTATTACCTTGCTTCTTCTTCGTAGAAAACTCTGGGAGGCAGAGAGTACAAAATAACCATTTCCCCGATTAAGACACCAAGACTCAGAAAGGTTAGGGGGCTTGCTACTGGCCACGGAGCCAGCAGATGGCTGAGTGAGGGTTTGAACATAGGATGTTTCACTTCGAAACTTGGACTTTTAACCACTCAGCCATGCTAATTAGGAAGCAGCAGACTAGAGAGTTCATTGTTAGGACAGGGCTAACTGACAGGGCTGTGAGGTTGGAGGAGAGGGCAGGGGCATGGCCGGTACCCAGAGGCTGCCCGATACTTACACAGTCCAACTTGCTCTTCCTCCACAGGTAGTAGGGGTCAGTGAGTTGCTTGAGGGAGTTCTTGAGATTGACAGCGATCAGGGCTCCTAGCACAGACTAGAGAAGCAGAACATTGCTCCAGGCCTCCAGGGTTTCCCCTTCTTTTTGCCCTCCTGTGCATACCTGACCCTGAAGCCTGGCAGGACAGAGATGGAGTTCTGGAACACCTCCCCTGGCTGATCCCCCAAATGGCTGCATTCGCCCTTAGGTGTGGAAAGTGCTGGCGTTAGAGCCATGGGGTCCTTCCTGGCTCCATCCTTGCCCTATCTCTCTCCCCTCATCCCTAAATGACACATGCCTAGAGCCCTCCTAGCTGGGCTATATGAGAGCCCGGTACTCATGGGTAGGTGCAAATGCTGCCTAGGGATCAGACTCTGAGGCCAGAAGGCTGGAGTTTGGGACCAGCCCTGCACTGTGAGCTGCCTCACTATGGACAAGGTTACTTAGACTTTCAGTCTCAGTTTCCTTCACCTATGAAATGGGGAGGATAAAACCTGCATTGTCTATCTCACAGGTTGTGGTTGAGACTAAGTATGACAACGGTGGTACTTTGTAGTCTGTAAAGTGCCACACAACTCTCAGGGATTGTTCTTACTGGAGTCTCTCGCTGTCCTCTGCTCGATGGTTGGGCTCTTACCTTGGGGAGAGGATACAGATAGGTCCCCAGGACCAGCATGGTGATCATCACCACCAGAGACACACACAGGCTTGCCACCTATTCCGAGAAAGAGTTGGGGATAGAGGATAGGTGTGAATTCTTTGCTCTTGATTTATTTCCAATCCATGGCTTTGGTGGAGTGGAGACTAAGAAGGGAAGAAGGGGGTTGGAGAAGAGCTGGCCTAGCTTGCAGTGCCCAGGCTTCTCTGGGGCAACCGTTCTGTTACCACCTCCCCACCACTCCCCTAGAACAAGGCTCACCTGGGATTTTCCTCCAGCTCCATCCACAGCCAGAGTGACGGAAAGTGCACAGCAAATGACATGAATTTTAAAGAAGGAGCCAAAGAAGTTGCTGCAGCCCAGGGCGATCATCTCCTGTCAGGAGGGGACAGGATTAGAAGCCAGTGTGGGGCTGGGGGGCACAGGGACCAAGTGCAGTCAGGCATGCAAGCTGGATTGTGGGCCTAGGACCTGAGAGTGACCCTGTGGCTATAAAGTCACACATTCCCAGTCAAGAGGAAGTCAGCCTCTTGGGGTCAGAGGACCCCCTATCCCCCACACTCAAGGCAGCATGCCTCACCTCAGCCCAATGAGCACCCCACCCAAGATACCACATGCCAGGCCTGAGTTGACCCATCCTGCCCAGTCCTGCCGGGAGTGGCCGGAGCTACCTGGTTCGAATCCACGTCGTAGCCGTGCTTGTTGGCCAGGGTCCGGCCCATAGCCAGGTTGATGACATAGCCCACGATGGCTAGGGAGAAGGCTGTGCCTATCATGTCCTTCCACTGCGAGACCACAGGTGACACCGGGGTGGGGAACCTGCCGAGGAGCCCGGAAGGAGGCAGAGCCCAAGGGTGTGAGTAGGGAGGGCAGCCAAGTCCTTCACCAGCCCACAAGGACCGGCCAGGCCCCCATGGTGTGCCGGAATCTTTGCCTAAGTTATCCCATGCAGTCTGAATCCTCAGCACCACCCCATAGGGTAGGGACCATCACTCCTGTTTTACAAAGGAGGAAACTGAGCTTAGAGAACCAACTTGCCCAAAGTCCCTGGGCCAGTACGTGGTAGGGCCTCGTTTGTTAACTCCCAGATTCTGAACCCTGCACGCTCATGAGTCCACAGACCCCTAGACCTTTGGTGCTGTGTGGCCTTCCCTCCCGTGCCTGCTCCAACCCTGCAGGACAAGCATCGCCCTTCTCTTCCCACGGCCCAGCATGGTGCCTGGCACCGAGTGGATGCTTCATGAATCTGGTTGAACCTAATAGCTCCCTTTCTGCATGGACAAAGAACTAAAGCATTAGAGCAAGGCAAAGAGCCAGCAAGGGGCTAATCAGAGAGGCTTTGTTTAACAGCATCAGTTGAATGAGATTTATAAGGGGAGTGTGGCAGTTAAGACTCATTTTTCATAAAATAGCCTACATTGGCTGGTTGTGTGGCCCTTCTCAGGAAACAGTAATAGTAAGAATTCAGACATGGCCAGTGTCATACAGTTTCGACAGCACTTTCACAGAGTTCATCTTGTCTCCCTCTCTGAGCTCAGGCCTGAGTGGGGCATGTGGTGCGGGTGGGCCAGGCCTCTGGCCACCTGGACTCACCCGCGTTGGATTTCTCCCACGATCTGCATGTGATACTTTTTGGGCATCTTACAGCCCCCGGAGATAGCTGTTGCCACCACCACCTGCAAACCCCAGAGTGGAGAATGGGGATTAGCCCTAAGTTGGGGCCAGGGCAGGGGTCTCTCTCAAGTCTCCCTTTTCTCTGGGGACCCTGAATCCCACTCCCCTGCCTCGTTAGGGGGAATTATTAGAGCAGTAGAAAGAGAGGAAACGCCACATATGGCGGATGGGATGGATTCACATCTGACTTCCTGTCCCACTGGCTGCCAGTGGGGGGATGGGGTGAGGAAGGGTAGCGGCTTCCTTGTCTCACAGCCTGGCCCCCCAACACCCCAGCTCTGGACACGGTCCTTACCACAATCATCTCTGTAGGGATGGGGAAGCGGATCTTGTGCATGTAGCGAGCATTGAGCTCCTTCACCAGCACCAGGAAGACACCGCTGATGAGGGCGAAGATGAGCGAGGCGATGTTGGTGTGGGGGAGGTTTTTGCAAATGTCAATGAAGGTCTGGGGGAAAGAGCATCATGCTCACAGGCTCCCACCCCTTCTTCCCATACTACCCCACCTTTAGGTGTCTGACCCAGGGAAGGGATGCCATCAAAGCTAATGGAGGCACACCAAGACAGAATTAAAACCCAGATCAGGAACACTGTCCCCTCATCCACCGCCCTCTCCCAAAAGGCACATGGGGAACTCGTGCTAGAAAAGGAATGCTTTCTTTTTCTTTAGAAGACTTTGAGCTAAAGAAGGAGGGATGGAGATTAGACATAAGGAAGGACTTTCCAGGCAGGGAGGGGTTGAGGCAGTAGAATGGGGAACTGGTGGAGAGGATACAGCTCTTTTCTGCAGGGATTAACTACCAAGAACCTCAAGGTCATGACTTTGACCCTCCCAAGACAGAAACCCCCTCAGAGTCCTCTCTGAACAACAGCTAAGCCAGCCCTTGCAATGAGGAGCTCACAACTTCTTAAAACAGTACAGCCTCCTCGTGTGTCTGCTGGAGCCTTGCCCCGTTGGCAGGGGTGCATCCCCAGACTCACAAAGACGATGGACCCTGGGCCTGCGTAGGAGGGAATGGTCAGTCCGAAGATGTACTTGAGCACTGAAATCAGGATCTGTAGGCCGGCGGCCGTCATGAAGCCCCGGATGAAGGATTCGGAGAGGTAGATGGCCACAAAGCCAAACTGCATGAAGCCCAGGCCTATCTGAGAGGAGGAAAAAGGTGGTTGGTGGGGGAAGACCCATGTGGTTCAGCAGTTCCAACAACCCGCCCCACCCACACCTAGGTCTGGAGCTGTGTGCAGTTCTAGGATAGCAGTAGCTTGAGGGAAATGGGCCATCTGTGACCTTCACCTGCCCTTCACTGTGCTTTACATGCCTGCCATTAGACCTTCAGTTCCTTTAGAGCATGGGCCTTTTTGTTACATCACCTCTCTGGCTTTGGCTTCCTTATCTGTAAAATAAGTCTGGTCCTCCCCCAGTGTTTTCTCTCTCAGTAAATGACACCATCATTAACCTGGTTGCCCAACCAAAAACTTGAGAGTCATCCTCCCTTACCTCCCACATCCAATCTATCACCAAGCTTCTGGTAAAATGTTCTTTTCAAGTCCAGCCCCATCTCTTTCTCTACGTGGTCTTGGCCTGCATTACTCCCGCCTGGGCCTCTGTGGAGTCTCCCAACAGGTTCCCTGCCTTGATTCTAATCCACCTCCCACTCTTCATTCTCTGTGTAGCCAAAATGATCCTTATAAACTGCTAATCAGACCCAAAGCTGCCGTTTAGAGGACAGACCCCAGATTTCATTGTCTGGCTCCTGCCTACTTTTCTATCCTCTTCTGGGGCCCTCTACCCTCCAGCCACACCAACCTCCTTGCTTTCCCTGGGCAGATCACACTCTCTCAGGCCTCAGTGTTTTTAGGCACTGTTCCCTCTGCCTGGACCATCCTCTGTATATCTTGTTCCCGGTTAGCTTCTCATCCTTTAAGACAGGTAGAGTGTCACCTCCTCTTTGAGGTCCTCTGTGACTCTCTGCTCTGTGTTCCTACAGTTCTTTGTGCATAGCTCTACTTTGCTGCTTATCTCACTGCATACAAATTTATCTGTTGACCTGGCTCCTTCCTCTGCTGCGCTGTGAGCAGCTTGTGAATTGGACCTCTTTCTTACTTATCTTTGTATCCCAGGGTTTAGCCTAGTTCTTGGCAAAAAACTGAACGAATGAGTGAATGGAAAGGTGCTCTCTGGGACTGCGTTTTGCTCTTGCATTCTGTCATGTGGTGCTTCCCTTCATAAAACCTAGCAGAATCCTTTGCAACCCTTTGTGGAAGCTCAATTTATGTTGTGCAACTGCTGCTGTGGCTTGGAGCAGAGGAGGCTGCAGCAGGGTGAGGGATGTTAGAGAAAAGCAGCAGTCTGCAAGACTGCGCTGGCAGAGAGTTGGGTTTCTCCACGGGATAATGGAGAGAGGCGGTGAGTCTTTTAGACAGTTTTAAAGCTCAGGACAGTTTTACCAGGTGCAGCTGTTGTTTTTTTTTTGTATGGTCCTGCTAGATGCAGGTAGGAGACACTGTTAATTTTCAAGGTTCACTTTAGCCCTGGGATGGGGAGGAAGGAGAAGGTAGAGCCCTAACTTGGATTTTTTTTTTTTTTTTTGAGACGGAGTCTCGCTCTGTCACCCAGGCTGAAGTGCAGTGGCGTGATCTCAGCTCACTGCAACCTCTGCCTCCCGGATTCAAGTGATTCTTCTGCCTCAGCCTCCTGAGTACCTGGGATTACAGGCACACATCACCAAGCCTGGCTTATTTTTGTATATTTAGTAGAGATGGGGTTTCATCATGTTGGTCAAGCTGGTCTCAAACTCCTGACCTCAAGGGATCCACCCACCTCAGCCTCCTAAAGTGCTGGGATTACAGGCATGAGCCTCCACGCTCAGCCCCCTAAATCAGATTTAGCATCAAAGCTAAGGCTTTGAGGCAGGGGCAGGGTGGTCTGATGCCTTCCTAGCAGGGTTGGGGGCTGCCCCCTCACCTGGATGATGGCAGTGAGGCAGGCTAGCGTAGCTGACACGTGCAGCCTCTCTGCCTCCATGGCTGCTGTGTCCACATAGCTCTCATTGGTGGCATTGTTGAAGACCTGGAATTTCGACTCTGGGGCCAGCTGCAGACAGATGTTACCCACCAGGATGCTGATAACGGCAAAGGTACCTGTGGTGCCCCACCCAGCCAGCAAAAATCAGAGGTTTGGACCACACCCATGGAAACCAGAAAGGGGCCCAGGAACGCTTCCCGACCCCCAGGGGGATGGATCCCTGCACCTCCAAGGCTCTTCGCCATCATAATAAAAACAACCACTCACTCTAACCATGATCTATGCTTTTCAAGGTGCTTTCACCTCAACGGTCAATATTGTCTTATCAGATGCGTGAAGAAATGAACTCAGAAATAAATATAAGCAGAGCCTGAACCAGAAACCAGCGCTTGTGACCAGGCTTTTCTCCATCTCACTTAGCACCAGAGAAGTACAAATGTCCCTGTAGTGGCCGGCTGGGACCAGCCAGGGAGTTAGATGGTGATTTCTCACATCTGTTTAAGCATGGTATAGCATATGGTATATCTTATTCTGCCAAGCCTTCCTCTCATTCCTGGGGGGAAGATGGAACAGGTAATGCTAACTGAACTCAAAGAGGCTCAGTGGTTTCCCCAAGGTCACCGAGGACCTGGGACTGACATTCACAGCGACCATTCCCCTAGGACTGACGACAACAATTCTAGGAGAATGCAGGTGGAAAGTCTCCCCAGCCCCCTTTGCCACACCTCCCATCCTTGTGGTCTGGGTCATCCTGCCTGCCCAGAGGGGAGAGGCCTTACCTGGCACCATCTGGTGCACTCCCCCCAGGAAGAAGTAGGTCAGGAGGGGGAAGAAGGAGGAGTAGAGGCCATTGACTGCAGGAAGGTTGGCCAGCAGAGCAAATGCCATGCCTGCAGAGGACAACGAGATTGAAGCTCAGCAGCACGACTGACTTATGGGGATCACAGACGGATGGAGTGGGGATGGAGAGGAATGATTGGGGAAGTGGCAATCCAGGCCTGGCTAAGGGGGCCCCTTCACCTTGTGGGACCTGGATGGATCCCCCGCTGAGTCCACCAAGCAGGTCGGGAACGATGTAGTCTTTAATCTTGTACTTGGGGAGCCAGGAGAGCACAGGCAGCAGCCCAAACACCACAGCTTTGATCTTGGCTGAGGAACATCTGGAGGGGAAAGGGGAAAATTTCCAGTTGGCTCTGCATGGCTTGGACATTCCATGTTGGAGAGGGATTATCATATCCTGCTCATTTCATTCATTGGTTCATTCAAAATTCACTGAACTGTGTGCCAGGGATACTGAGAAGAAAAGGCAGGAACTTTTTCTTAAGAGCTCGTCAACTTGCCCTGGGCATTAGCTGGAGGGCTTCTGACTGCCAGCTCCTTACCTGGGGAGTTTACAAGACTTGGCTTAAAGGTATGGGTGTTGTGGTGGCTCAGTCTTCGGAGGTATCAGATCCGTCTCCTGGCTCAGATGGCTTTTCTCTGGGAAAGGCTCCTCCGAGTGCTGTCTGTCTGATTCCAGGCCTGGGTACCTGTACCTTGGCTCTTGCTGCTGTGTGTGCATCCTGTGTGTGCATTCCTTGCTTTTTGTCTGTCTCTCCCACTAGGCAGCAAACCCCACCACGCATGGCAAAAGTCTAGCTCTCCTGTTCATCTTTGTACACCTTGAGCCTTGCACAGGGGCACTTAGTAAATATTTGTTGAATAAATGAATGAGTGAATACCTCTGAGTGGGGTCTGCCTGCTGCCATTTTTCTTAGAACTTCCTTGAAAAGGAAGGCTCTATTGTTCCTGCAGGGTGAACTCTGCTGACTCACTATCCTGTATGTGTGGTAACTCCAATACCGGAGTTCTTTCTCCTGTGAATTCACTGGGCAGCAGAGGAGGGATTAATTCGCTGGTCAACGCAGGGTGGGGAGAGTTGATTCCTTCCCTGTTTGTCGAACACCTCAAGGTCCTTTCATAGAAACCCAGGAGCGGTAGGAACAAGGGCTTACAAACTCAAGGGTGACAGCCGGTGGATTGATGACTGGAAGTGGGTGAGGGGCATTTGCTTTCCTTCTCCCAGTTGAGGGAACTCAAATACTTAGGGCCCATCTGGTGACTCACTGGCCTGCTCTGATGAGGCTTCTTTTCCTGCCCAGCACCAATTCCTGCTCTTTGCTGTTGTTCAACAATAGATTCCCTGACACTTGGTCCCCTGGATGTCACCCAAGACTGAAACCAACAAAGACAATGCTTTGTACCTTGGAAAGTCTGGGCAGATTTTCTTTTCCAACTAACACTCCATGAAACAGCATCATCATCAATATCTTACAGGCCCCTGTCCCTTCTGGGGCTCATGGGTGCCTCTGCCATTCCTGGGATGCTGGAAGGGGAGGTAGATGGGGCATAAATTGCTTAATGCAACTCTAAAGCGTTGCTCGAAGAGAGAACCAGCCCTGCAGGGGCTCCATCAGGTCTGCTTGTGGCAGAGAAAGCCGTACTTATGAATAGAGAGCTGGCTAGGGAAAGAAAAGCAACTCATTTGAGGGCTAGTCCATGCCCAACCTTACTTGCAAGTCTGCTGTATGTTGGGCAAAGCAATCTGAAGCTTGAAAGAAGAGCTGGACACAGAGGCTGAGAGGGATTAGCTTTCTAGACATTCATTCATTCATTCATGAAACAAATATTTATTGGTGCACCTTCTCTATGCCAGACACTGTTCAAGGCTCTCATGCCAGCATCATGGGAATTGTTAGTTTGCTATATCCCTTTACAGCTTTCATTATCCAATCTTTTAGCAGATCTTCTCGTCCTCGGACTCTGTGCCCTAAAGTCTTTGGGCGCAGAGACTGGCAGAGACCACCTGTCTGAGGAGCACAGCTGTGAGGACAGACTAACTGGGCAGAAATGGAGCCTCCCAAGAGAAACAGGGTTGGGCTGGGGCTTTTAGTAAAAACTCAAGTGGGTGATTCCCCTGGCCTGAACCAGTTCCACCTGCGTCTCCACTTCAACCATTACCAGTGACCTCAATCCAGGTAACTGAATCAGCTGTCTCCCCAGGGGAGTGAGGGAGAGTGAGCCGGCCTATAGCTAGGCCGGAGGAGGTCTGCCAGGAGTCTGGGAAGGGGGAGGGTGACGTTCGCAGCCCCAGCCTCCTGGGGTGTGGGTATGGATCACCTTGTGTAGCACCTCCTTATGGACAAGGTTTCATACCCACCATCGCATTTCCAGGGAGCTAAGAATGGAAAGAGCCTGGGCGCTGGTAGGACTACACCCTGGTAGGTCCCCTCAGGAAAGTCCAGAAATTTAGGGCCTCCTTTTGGCATTCTCTGGACCAAGTGGAGGAAGGAACATCCGGGAGGGAAAGGACAAAGGGCTTGGGGTGATGGTAACTTCAGGTATTTTTTGTAAGGAGGGAGCAGGGTGTGGATTAAGGGCTCTGATGCTCCCCACCCCTTCATAATGTAACATGCTCATCTACCGTGCCTTAACAAACCCAGAGAGACTCGGGTGGATTGAGGATATGGGAGATGCCATGCAGGGGTTTGGGGATGCCCTATAACCCTTCTAGATGGTTCTTGCTCCTGCTCCCCATCCTCCCTGGGGGTCTCAGTACAGATGAGGTTGTAGGATCTTAAATTCATCATTCAGAACCTCGCTTCCCCAGGGCTTCCCTTAACCCCATCTTAGGGATGCTGGTGCAGAAGCTGTGTCCTGGTGCAGAAAGGATTTTGGTGGGGAGCAGAGGAGGCAGGAGTTTGGGTTCTGGACCAGTTACCTGAAGGTATTGCGAAGTTTCTCTCCCACTGGGTATGTCCGGTCCTTCTTCTCAAACTCATCGTCGAAGAGGGTGAGAGAGTATGCGGCTCTGTCTACCACGTAGCGGGGCCTGGGCTGGCTCATATCTGGGGCATTTACAAGCTTTGGGAGAAGCAAAGGAGGGGAGAGTGAGGGAACATCCCTCTCCAGTGCCAGCCCAGGCCTTCTCTCTCTGGTCCTCGCAGCAGCCGAGTTTTATTCTGGCCTTCCCCGCCCCGATAAAGCAAGGTGCCTCCCTTCCCTCTGTCAAGTTTTTCCGTCAGACTCCCTTCTTGCAGTGGCCTTCCTTCCCAGGCACTGATGATGCATACACTCGCCCTGGCTGTTTTGCTTGGCGCTCAGTACATGGCTGGGACTCCACACCTGTGACGTCACCATCACCCCCACCGAGCACCAGGCAAAGGGGAGGTAGAAGTACGAGGGCAGGAGTCCCCACTTGATTCAGCACGTGGACCCTACTCTCCCCTGACCTCTGGTGTCCCCACAAGCCATACTCCCTCCCCAGACCTCAGTTTCCCTGGCAGAAAGGTTCCTACCATTCAACCAGTCAGTTTGGAAGAAACAGAAAACAACTTGCCTGGAGGCAAGGGGATAGCTGAGATGACCTCAGGAGGACCCTTCTTGGATAAGACACCTAGAACTTCACCAACAGGTTTCCCAGGGGGACAATGGTGTGTGTGGGGAAACCAGGATGGTCCACCTGCCGGCTCTCTCCCACGGCTTCCTGTGCCTAACCTTTCCCCCACCCTTTTGTACTGCCGCTCCTCTCCTCCTCACTTTTGCGCAACCTCGCCGACGTTCCAGGAGCTGAGTTGGGCAGAGCTGAGTGCCAGGGCCCCTGAGGAGTTCCCTGTAGGAACCTTTCCCCCTCCCTCTTCCAATTACTGGGCCTCCCACCTCCCCTCTACCTCCCAGAGCTGGGAGAAGTCGCTCAGAGGACCACAGAGAAAGGACAGAGAAGAAAGAGATGGGGCAGGCTTAGAGTGAGGATTTGTATCTGGGAGGTGGGGATTGTGGGGTGGCTGTGGCCAGTTTGGCAAAAGATTTGAGATGGGGTTGAAAATGAGTAACTACATAGGGACTGGAGATACCCCCAACTTTCCAGAGGAGAGCCTGGGTGAGAGGGGAGGTTGTCAGAGGGGAGCAGGTTGCCTAATGCCTTTTGTGGAAGGGTCCAGGAGCCTGGGTTAGTCCTGCTTTTATTGAGGAGGTAGAATGGGCAACATTATTTTTTGAACCTCAGATTCTGTATCCGTAAAGTGGGGGTAACAGACATATCTCACAGGGTTGTTGTGAAGATCAAATGAGTTAATGGATAAGAAAGGATTGTGTAAAATGTAAAGTGTGATGCAAATGTGAGTTTCTATTATGAATAAGATTGTGCTCGTTGGTGAAGGCTGGGCTGGTGCATTCTGTTCATTTGGTCTTGGGGTCCCGAGGTCCACTGTGAACTACAAGTGAGGGTGGGATGCCCAGCAAGACCCCACAGGTGATACCCAGCAGAAGGGGAGGTGGGAGAATGAACCTACCCCCAGCGCCTGTGCCCAGCCCCTTGCCTGGCCCTTAGTGTACTCAACAAATGCTTGTTGAGTGAATTGATAAGTGGTGTTTTGGAGGAGACACGGACAGAAATGAGTAAGGGCAATGGCATGTGAGACATTTTAGTGGGAGAAATTAGAGACAGGGTGGCTTAAGGAAAACAGCACAAGTTTGAGAGCCAGATGACCTGGGTTCAGAGATTCAGTTTCTTCATCTGTAAATGGGGATAATAACAGTCGCAGGCAGTTGCTATGAGGATTAAGTGAGATCATGTGTATGAGGAGGCTGGCCTTTTATAGGCACCCAGTAAATGGTAGTGGCGATGATTACTATGATTAAGATGGGAGGGTGCTTTCTACCTCCTAGCAGAGACTATTCAGAGGCTTCCGGCCCTTCACGGGCCCATAAGGTGGGGTGGTCTGGCTCTTCCTCTCCACCTGCTCCAGAGTCTGCATGGGTCTGGTTGTCCAGGTGGTTTGCCTGGGGGGCACAACTAGTGGGGAGCATGACCTCCCCCCATAGGAACCCGAGCTCCAGACCTTGCTTCAGAAAAAGACTTATGGTTTGGGGAGTCTAGCCCAGGCCACTAAACAGACCACCTGCAAAAAAAAAAAAAAAAAAGGCAAAAATTTCAAGGGGGGCTGAATGAAAAGAAGAGCCCTTTGGAAGAGGAGGTGATGGGAGATCTTGCTTCCACACCAACCAACAGACAGCGATCCCTGAAGCATCTTCCTAGGCTGCTTTCGAAGGCTCTAACTTGCAGTAGTGTGTTTGCGGGGAAGGGAGTTATTAGCATCTGATTCCGCTGAACCCTACTATCCCAGCTCTCCTCCCCGCGATTTCCCCACTTCCTCAGTGGTACCTTTCTTCCTGCCACCCAGCCCACCCCCTTCCTTGTTCCTGTCCTCTCCCTCCCCCTCAGCCTCCATTCAGTTGTTCATCAAATCCTGTTGTTATTTCCCTCCTTCCTCCCTCCCTCCCTTCCTTCCTTCTTGTCCTTCTGTCCTGTCCATTGCCTCCATGCCTCCACCCACCCCGTCCCATCACCTCCATCTTCAAGTCTTATCTCACACCTGGACTATTGCAAAATTGATTTGCTGGTCTCCAGCCATGCCCCTTCAACCCAGCCTAAACTCCCTGCTCCGAAACCTCTATCTCCCTCATTTCCAGGAGGATGAGACCCAAACTCCTTATTTTGGCATTTTTGTTTTTTTATTCTCTGGCCTCGTATTGGTGGATTCGGGAAATCTGTTGGCCGGGTTCCTCCACACCATCCGGGCTGGTCTGTTCTGCACCCGCCAAACAAGCCTGGGTGTCTGTTCCCACTTTCCTCCTTACCTGAGGTGCCCTGACTCGTTTCTGCCTTTCTAGACTTGCCCATCCTTAAGACCTGTTGAAGTTCCTCCTCCTTCCCTCTCCTTCCTCTCCAACACTTTTCCCTCCGCCTTCTTGCCTATGAAGCCTTTCCTGACCACCTTGAAGAAACCCTGAAGGATTTCTCTTTCTCCCAGGATCTCCACGTGCACCCCTCCAGCCTGTACACTAGTGTTGGCTTTGGCCATTTTTCCTTTGGGAGGAAAGCGGCAGGGGTGGCGGAAGTCCTTCAGAGAGCAACAGGTAGGTGACTCAGGACCAGTCCTGCCCCTCTGGGCAGGCTCACAGACAGATGGGGCGCCAGATGCTAGGGAGTCCCCTCTGACACAGGCTCATAGAGGAAAAGCCTCCTCTGCGTTACTGGAATACCAAATCTGTCTCTTTCCCATGCCCTCTGCCCATCCCAGAAATAGGATGCTGAAGGGGAGAAGGCTCTGGGAGCTTTCATAATTCTGAGTTGCATAAAGAGGAGAACCCAGCAGCCAGTCAGAGTCAGAAAGTTTTGTGTAGAAGAGAACTTGAGGACCACATTCATCCAATTGTCTCATTTTGCAGATAAAGAAACTGCACTTGGTTCCAACTCTGATGTTCTTATTGGAAGGGGTTTCAGAACTTCCAGGGACAAAGCTGATCCCAGGACAATGTTCTCCCCTGAGTGGCCAGAATGCCCCTTTCTAACCACCCTGGCGACCTTGCCACCCCAGCTGATGGGACAGGACCTCTGGGTTCTGTTACTCTTCTTGAGGGCTCTGGTTCCCTCCTGGCCTTGGTTTCCCAGGACTATGATGGCCAGAGTTGCAAATCTGCAGCCACAGGAACTGCCCCAGCTCCTGGTGAGGAGATGCCCTCAACGTACTTCCTAATTCCAAGAAAGGGGTTGAGGTGGGGTGGCACGTAGAAGGCAAGGTTACTTCATCCCCAGCCAGCCCTTCAAGTGAGGACAAGAGGTGGAGGGAAGAGGGATGGGAGTGGCGGAAAAGGGTGAGTGGCATGGTGGGGAGGAGGGGTCTCAGAGAACTAGCAGGGACGGGGGTTCCAGGGAATCCTCAGAAAGGGTGTCTCACAATGCTAGGTTAGGGGCGGGAAAGTGGAAGAGGGAGCAAGAAAGAGAGCCAGGTATAGGGAACATAACAATCTGATCCCCAGTTAAACAAACAAACAGCCCTGCTAGGTGATGTCAGCATCGCTGGAAAAAAAAGTCAAGTGCCCTATTGCCAGAGGTGTGTATCTACGAGCCCTGCCCCCACCACCCCTCCACAGCCTGCCATCCCCGCACTGGGCCAGGGATAAATAGCAGGTGCTATGTGATAATACTGAGAAACAAAAGGGTGACCCTGCCCCTCCTCCACTGTGCAGGGAAGGGGGGCAGGTCCCAAAGAGCTGGAGGGACTTAGAGGAGGGGCTGTGAGGTTTAAGGGGAGTAGGGGGTGAGCCAGGGAGAGCAGAGGGCAGGAGATGTGGGTGCATGGACCATTCCTATGCCCCGGCAGGAGAGTGGGTCAAATCTGGAGCAGAGGGGATGCAGGGGTCCTGTGAGGTGGAGGAGCTGGGAGAGGGGAAGCAAAGAGAAAATAGACTCTGTGTGGGGAGGGGGACACAGGCTGGAGCAGATCCCCTCCTGGGTTTCTCCAGGATTTCTCCTCCAGTGAGCTCATGCCAAAGAAACCCCTGGTACCTCCTCCCAGTCACATTTCTGACCAGGTCTCTGTCAACACCATCCAAATATTGTAGGCAGAGATGGGCTGCGGCAGAGATGGGCTGCGGCAGAGATGGGCTCAGGCAGAGACAGTGCCTGAGTGGATGCACCGAAAGGCTCGGAACAGCACCTGGCCGTGGGAAGCATGCAATAAACTCCGACTATTATCATTACTGCCATGATTCCAGAGGAGCCTCTTTCCTGTTCTGCCATCTCTAGTGGGCACTCTGCCTTTTTTTGGCTTTCCCTTTTCCATCTGCCCCTGTACCCGCTGCCCCATGACTTAACTCCTCCAAATTTTCCCAGGACCTGATGAGAGGAACAGCAGAAAATCTTGTCAGAAAAGGGTAGAACATCGGGGGAGCAGGACGATGAGGGGCCTATTTGTGGGTTTTGGTCAGATCTGGAGGCGATGCTGTCACTGTGACCCAGGCTGACTTCCTCCCTCAGTCCTGCCGGGGGTGTGCATGTCGGGGAGGGGGTTTTTGACGCACGTGTGCCAGGTACAGGAACAGCCCCGGCTTGGCCAACCCACCCTGGCGTCCTTATCACTGGTTCCTAGCCAGCTGGTTGCTGTGTTCTGGGAAGAGGAAAAGTCACCTTGAGGTTTCCCCTTTGCTCTAGCTGCTGGTTGCCTCCCTGCCTCATCCAGGGTGGGGGCCACAGGGCAAGAGCAGCCTCTGAGTGACCCAGGTGTGAATGTGAGGGGGACAGACAAACTGGCTGGGGTCTCAGTGGGAGACCACATCCCTGGCAGGAGGAGGAAGGATGTAGAGGCCTCTGCACCCCTCAGGTTTTTTTTTTTTTTTTTTTTTTTTTTTGGAGACGCAATCTCCCTTTGTCACCCAGACTGGAGTGCAGTGGCACGATCTTGGCTCACCACAACCTCTGCCTTCTGGGTTCAAGCGATTTCCTGCTTCAGCCTTTCTGGGAGCTGGGATTACAGGTGTGTACCATGACACCCAGCTAATTTTTTTTTTTTTTTTTGTATTTTTAGTAGAGACAGGGTTTTGCCATGTTGGCCAGGCTGGTCTCGAACTCCTGACCTCAAGAGATCTGCCCTCATCGGCCTCCCAAAGTGCTGAGATTACAGGCTGAGCCACTGCACCCAGTCCCCCCAAGGCATTTTTAAACACTCCTTTTCCTTCTACTGTCCCTGTGTTTCCAGGGCAAATCTCTCCCCGCT